CACGGAGCATAACAAACATTCTAGACTGCCGACAAAGACACTAACCTTTGATGGGGGAGAACGCAAAACGCCAAGGAAAATTATAGTTTCAAGCATGCCATATCCACTACTCGTCGATGTCGTTGGAGCCAGACCTCGATGCCCTGAATCACCATTGCCGAGAAGCGGACGAAGAAACCACATCTCCGCCCAAATGGGTTTGAGACCAATAAGCAGAAACAGAATGTTATCGGATTAGTTGCACCACACTCCTTCACCGGAAAGCTTTGCCGCAGATTTTGCCGGTAAAGCCTCTAATCACCGCGTCTCCTAACCTAAAAATCCCTCTATATAGCCAAACAGCCGCACCACAAAAATATGCAAACTACGGACTCAAACCTCACGACACAAGCGATTCCAAGCCGGAGAAGGCTGTAAGAACCGCCATCGAGCAGAACGAGATCCGGCAAGACCAAGAAAGATCCACACCAACTTGATAAATTCGATAAAACTGAGAATGAGACGAGATCTAGTTAGATCTCGATTAGGAAGTCGAATCGCCTCCTACCTTTGCTAGGGCGAACCACCGCGCTGGAAAAAGCAGAGCCGAAGAAACGCCTCCCGTCGTCGGAGAGGTGTCCATGACCGTCGAGAGAGGATGAAAAAAGTTAAAATAAAAGAAGACAAGAAGAGGGATGCTTCTCCGGCACTGGAATGGAGCGCTGGCCACCGGAGAGGTGAAGACGAGAAGAAACTTGTCGGCGGCTGACTTAGTTAGGGCGAACTCGAAGGTTTATAGAGAGAGAGAAAACCGCTCCACGTTAAACTTGTTATGAGAACAAATCTTCTTCTTCTCAATTCACAAAGATAGAAACATAACAATCTTCTTCTTCTTCCCTCTGGTTTTTCAGTATGAGATATGAGACTGCAACCCAGTTTTAGGGTTCGTGAGCTATTTATTTCGAGTGTTCTGAAACAATAGAATCAGAAGCAGATTTATCCTAGGATTCTTGAGCGTATCAAACCGACACACTACATGCGTTTACGAAATTGAGGAGAGAGATCTTAATCTCGACTCTGCTCACCTCAATTCAAAATTTCTTTCAAATTCATATTGTTGTGCAATTTGCTTAATATGATATCAGTTTGCCCTTGTCATATTTTAGGTATAACATTCTTAATTCTTAAAAATTTCGTAACCGTCTAATTACACGTTTGAATCCTATTGTTGATTGGGTGTAAACTAAAATTTGAAAATGTTATGATATTTTCGAATAAAAAAAAACACAATCTAGAAAATAAAATGTCTATTTTAAATTATATATGTTAATAAAAAAAATATTTATTTCCATCGCAAGAAAATATAAATTATATTACAAAACTCATTAATTAATTTATACTTATATTTTTAATGTATGAAATAGTGTGAATTTAAAGATTTGGATACTATAAAAGAGATTTGACATGAAAAAAAAAATACAAATGTTATGGGAAAATAAGAAAATAAGAAGTTATTGCACGTAAACTAAAAGGACAAATTTATAGGAAAATTAGCATGTATATTAGTCTGCTAATTTTAGTATATTTTAGTATTGCTGATAGTCATAACATATTTTAGTATTGCTGATAGTCATTGACTTTTACCCACACAACCTGCTCATCACACTATAAAAAAAACATACCAATTTCGGACGGACATTGCCACTGAATTGTGACATATTTTGAACCGAATTTCGACAGAAAAAATCTCAGTCCAAAATCGGTTGGAATTTTCAGATGAAACTCATTCCGTCGGAATTCGGTTGGAAAAATCGGTCGTAAATCCGTGGGAAATTTATCCTGTCGGAATTCAGTTGGAAAAATCGGTCGGAAATTCGTGGAAAACGCATTCCATCGGAAATCAAAAAGAATTTTTCCACGAATTTCCGACGGCTTGCATATTCCGTCGAAATTCGTGGGAAAGTTTCCCACAGATTTTCTAGAGAATGTGGTTTAGAGTTGTAAAATTTAGTTCTAATATTTAAAAAGCTAATCCTACAAGATAAGTTATATATAAAATATAGTTGATCAAATAAAATGATAAATAACTTGCTTTCATTTTAGAATGTCATAATTTCTACATAAGAGTTTTACCACTTCTAGTTTAAGTTATAGTATACATCATTAGAGTTATTTTTATTTTTGCATACATGTTTTGTACATTACGCATAAATTAAATTTAAACATGTTTTTGTAGGGTGATGATAATATTCTCTCAGTATAATGTATTTTGACGTTGTTTACATCAATTTTACATACCCTATAGCCTAATTCTTAGAAAATCCGTGGGAAATTTTCAACCGATTTCCAACGACTTAATAGTTTTAAAGAAAAACATAATTCCCGTGAGGAATCCGTCGGAAATTTCCCACGGATTTCCGACCGATTTTGAATTTTGGATTTTGACCGCCAAATTTTTTTGAATGAATTTCAATTTAGCGGTAAAATTTAAAATTTCCGACGGATTTCATTTTCAACGGCACTTTCGGTTGAAAATCCGTAGGAAAATCTCAATAAATTGGACAGATCAGATATTTTCTCTTTCATTCTCCAAATTTA